GGCAAGCCAATTCCAGTGGCATTGGTGAATGCATTGAGAATAATGGGTTGACAATAAATGGGGCAAGTGATAATAGACAAACATATATTATTTGAAAGGCATTATTGTAATGTTTTCAATATTTTTGACTAATAATTTCAAAATATTTCTAAAATTATAAAGCCTAGAATGAATAGATGTGAAATGTTCACAAGATCATCACAGTTGAACATGATGTTCACAGTGTTATGCAATCAAGCATTGCAGTTCTCTCTGCTGTTTCAGCTTTGAAGAATTGTTATAAACTATTACAAAATATTGCAATGTGTAAAATTTCCCCCAAACTTTGAAGATCTGTAACAAGTTTGCTAATTAAGATAGGAGGGTGTTCAAAAAATGCAAAATGTTCCCCAAAATGAGGGCAATCCAAATTTTTCCTTGTATTGAACGATCATTGCGCAACGAACGTGCGATCATCATGCAACGTACACTTGGTCATCATGTGATCTTCAATTTGAACGTTGCATGATGATCAAGTGTACATCTCATGATGATTGCGCATTTGTCGCACAATGAACGTTCAATGTGTGCATCACCTTGGGAATGCGTTTGCCAATGGCAATTGAATGGTAGGCAATATTGCCCTTTTTTATTGCCTCTCAGGACCCTTCAGTTGGCATCGAGTGCCATTTGTTAACGGATGATCCGTTGGGCCTGAAATTTTGGCGGTTGATTTTGGTGAGCATTGTTAGCTTAGTATATTTTTTCAAATTTTTCTGATCGCAAGTTTTTGATTTTTGTCTCGAACGACGCAGCGTCGTAACAACTTCCTGTTGGACAAAATTGTTGGAAGTTGATGGGTCTCCTGGAGCTGGTGGCCTCAAATATTGTTTCGCAAATCGTTTGTTTGGTGAGTGACTTCTTTTTAGTGGGGATCTTCAACTTCATCAAGAAGAAAGTTCAACAAGTGAAAAGTGAGTATAAAAAAAAATCTTTTTGTTTGGGAATGACAATTTTTGAAATTTTCACACATGGCGTTCCTGAGGCTGCTGGTTTTGCTGATCATTGGTGTTGTGGTTGCTGGAGCGGACTGCGGTCCCGAAGACAGGGTGTTTGCGTGTCGGGACGTCTGCGGAGAGGAGGTAAGGGGCGCCGGCGGCTATGGTCGTTGCGTGACGTTCGTGGGGACGACGCTGTTCCTGGACTGCGTCAGGCAGGCGGACCTCAAGGTGAGTTTTGGAAATTGTAGAAAGGTAACGGAAATGACAGCTTTTGCTTTTCAGGAGGTGAAGTTGCTGTCACCGACGGTTTGCGTTGGACGTTGTGCCAACATGGATCGTGTCGTGACGCCGAGGAGGTCGTGCCCCCGAACCAGAGATCTCGACGGTGGCAGTTCTGCCGGTGGTTGGTGAGATGTTCCAGCTTTTCCACACAGACATAAAACATTTCAGAAACACAACTCACATCATACCTCTCATAATACATAACGCATACCCAACACCTATACCATAACCAACAACCCAATTTTCCTTCACCATACTTTGAAAATATTGTGTATATACAGATGAGCCTCACCCAGTGGCGCAGACTGCCAACCTGGCGGTCATCCACGTGCCGGCAAGCAAAACGCGGTTTGTGGTTCGGGCGCCGCCCTCAATGCAGCAAAGCGTCGTGGTGGCCCAAGAGGTGCCACACGTCATCAGGGCACCGTCGTGGACGCCAGAAGTGATGGTCAACATCAAGCATGGTGTTGCGCACTTTGAAAATATTGTGTATATACAGATGAGCCTCACCCAGTGGCGCAGATGGCCAACCTGGCGGTCATCCACGTGCCGGCAAGCAAAACGCGGTTTGTGGTTTGGGCGCCGCCCTCAACGCAGCAAAGCATTGTGGTGGCCCAAGAGGTGCCACACGTCATCAGGGCACCGTCGTGGACGCCAGAAGTGACGGTCAACATCAAGCATGGTGTTGCGCACGTCGAGGCGGACGTGGACCCGTGGACGGCAATGGTCCTGGTCTTCATGGGCCTTGGGGGAGCTGGAGCCATGTCTCTGGCTGTGTTTTTGGTTTGGCTTGTGAAGTTCATCAGGAACAAGGTTAGCCAATTTTTTCTTTGCTTTAATGAAAAATTATTAACAAAGCTTTTTGCTTTCATGCTTGCTTTGCCTTTTGTGCATGCCTTTTAAAAATAGAGAAAGGAAAGAATTTTAAAGTTGGATAAAGCTAAAGTAAAAGAGTGCATAGTAGGATCTATGCCCAACATATTTTTTAATGGGCTAGATTCTGATGATGAAGAATTTGAAATATTTTCTCAAAACTATGCAGATATCAGGGCTAGGTCCCCAAGAGTTTCAACATTTAGACAAGGTAAACAATAGCATGTAAATACAAAGCAGCGCATGCAATAATTTTTTGATGCTTTGCTTGGGGCTTTTTCTTTTGTCTTTTTGTACAGTCATCATACATGCGGGAACTGGTGCGGATGTTGACGCCGGAGGATCAGCAGGATCCGGAAGCCCAACCAGTGGTGGATCTGCTGGGGCTGGAAGAGGCGGATAAACCCGTCACAGAAGAAAAAGAGGAAGAGTTGGTCCTTGAGGACAATTATCTGTTTAAAGAGATGTTGAACGCGTAAATATAAAGTCGCGTCAAAGAAAGAGAGTGCCATTTTTGTACCCGCATTTTTATATGGGTCTCTGGCAAAAATAGAGAAATTGTAAAAAGAATTTCTGGCCTCTGATTCTCTTTTTTGTTTGTCTTTTCCAGCCGATTTTCTTTCCAAAAAGTGATCAGCGAATGGACAAGATTCCTGTGGAGGAGTCCATTTCCAATCTAGGGTAAATTGCAGGCTTAGGAGTAGGAGATTGAATGAATCTCACAGATGCTTGAGCATCATCAGTTCTCCTGGAAGGAGAGGATCTCCTAATTTGTAAAACATAGCGAATCTTGGTATAGCATAGATAAACAAGACACAGTAGGATAATGAGCCACAATGAGACTGACACAATCATATAAATATAACCATAGTCTCTAAAATGAATTTGTAGCTCACTGATGTCTGAGGAAATTTGGTGGATCCCTGGCATGACAGCAGGTATTTCTTGCACCTCATTAATCTCAATATTCTCAAGTTTAGGCAACACATCAGTAAAAGGACCATTCACAACTGTATAGCAACAATTAGGCTTGAATTGAAGAATTCCAGAATAAGGTAACTCATAAGAATTTTCAGATGCAGATATGCTAGAATTCTTGGAACCAGAACAGTACTGAGTGATCCTTCCCTTGTCATTGTCCACAAATGCAAATTCATCACTATCCAGGTGCACAACAGTGTTGCTAGGAGTGCTAATTTGTTTTAAGGGACACTTGCCTTTAATTGTAGATTCATTTTCCCCATTTTGAATTGATGAAACACAGGGATCTTGTTCTTGGGAAGGAGGTCTGTTAAATCTACAGATCCTACAATCAGCTTGTCCCAATTGATTTAAGCATATAGGTAAATCAAGAGAATTTAAACCATAAAGTCTGGAGCCTTGAGATAAAAGATATGAGTGCCTCAGAAAGGCTTGCTTCCATTTATGAGCTCCCATGTAAGTATCTTCAGCAATACGCAAAGCATGAATTTTAAAGAGCTCATATTTGTCAATGGACCTGATTATTGGTACCACAGTTTTGATCCTGTAAAAACATGAAGCGTTGACTGCCTTAAGATCTTGAGCACAGGGGTCAAAGTGACCTATGGTCAATGGATTTGACCTGATCAAAGCAAACAAGTCTTGGAGGGTTAAAACTGTAGTTGGAGGATGATGTTCAGTTTTGATAATTTGTTCCAATTGGGTCTTAACCTCAGAGTTTGTCAAGAGGGTAATTGGATATTGAAATTGATGAATTCTGTCCATATCAGCCATCAAGGAAATTAAGAGCCTGGTGAAATGGGCTAATTCATTTCCAAGACTGGTTAAATATAACCAGGAAGCAGCATCATTTGGCAAGGTGGAATTTATTTGATTTCCCAATTGAGTTGCCACTTCATATATGTTGCTGTTTGGCCTGTAATGAGCAGGTGGAGAAATTGTTGCTCTTTTCTCTTGGACCTGAAT